CGGCCACTAGTCAGCAGCGGTGACGGTGGGCCTGCCACTCACCCCGAAATCCACAGTAGAAGCGGCAGTGACGTTTCTAGCAGTGGCGATGCCTCCTGCGACTCACTCGCCCGGGAGTCCTGCCACTCATGCCGCTTCCTTTCCTTACAGCTGGAGGAAGACGAGGAGCAGTCGGCGCGCAGGGCGCGTGGCGCATCCACCCTTGTGGACCGGTGGGGGGAGTTGACGCACGGTGCTGATGGTGTACTGTTGGCGAGTTTTCTCTCCCGGGCAAATAACACGTCCCCGACGCAGAAGCGGCGAAACAGCCCGGGACGAATCGCGGCGACGCTCCAGTGCTTGAACAGACTCAACAGCACTGGCTGCATTATCGCCCGCCACTCCATCACACTGCACCCGCGGCCGGGGCTGACGGTGGAGATACCGGAGGAGAATAAGGAGGAGCTTTGCGTCGAGCTTTTGACACTCATGCAGCAAAACTCGGGTGGTAAGAAGACTGCGAGAGGCTCTGGCGAGCTGCTCTTATCGCGTGGCAATTTCATGGACGCGGGGAGCAGTGCCAATCGTATTGAATTGGAGAGGGAGGAGGCGTGCGTAGTCGCGGCCTCCAGAGGACGCGGGTCCGCCAAACTCATCCTGTTCCCGTCCGCCACACGTCCGCGTAGCTCTCAAGCCTCCGGGAATATGTTAGCGGACGTCCACCCGTTGTGTGCGCCATGGCCAATAGAAGAGGAAAAGAGGAGCTGGACAACGACGACAAGGACCCGAAACCACGGGTGAATCCGTTGGGTGCATCCGAGGAGGCGCCAACCGACATGGCAGGTCCCTCAGTAGTCGTTCCACTTCAAAAGCAAAAGGGCGTGGCCGATAAGGGACGAGCTGCTGGGAAAGTCAGGCCAAGGCGCGGGACGACGCACAGCGACAGTGTCAGTAGCGGTTCCGTGAAAAGGAGCGGGAAAAAGCCCTTGCGGGGCGGTTTCTTTTCCCGGATCTGCTGCACTTCATAAGAGAACCATTTCCATCCACCGTTTATGTTTGTCTGTTTTGCTTTGTAATTGCTGTTTGCAAAATACGCCCATTTGTGCGGCGGTGTTCATTTTATATGTTTTTATGCGTGTGGTGCTTGTTTCTGCTGGGGTGGCGGGTCTTCCTTTTTTGATTGGTTTATTGTGCGCATATTTTTGTGATTTTGTGTGCCTGCCGCTGCGTGTAATTTGTGCGGCTTTTGTGCCTGGAAGGGATATAAATGGGACGGAGAGAGGAGTGGCACGGCGTTATTTTGTTGACCGCAAGCGGTGTTTTCCGTTCCACTTGCACCATTTTACATGCAACGACATGCGTGGGAGCGTCGTGGTGGTGTGTGGGGCGTCACTCCGCGCCGTCTCGCTCTTTCCTTCTTTCCTTTTTTGTTCTGTTGCTTCTTTGGCCTTGCCGTACTCCTTTCATTGGTGCTTTGTTGTTGCTCTTTTTTCCCCCTCCCTGCCTGTGTCTGCGTGTTTGCCCGTACCTGCGGTGGCACGGGGCCCACGGATAAGAGCGCGAAAGGGACGAAACACGACCAACGAGCCTCCGTGATGTTCTGCCCGGATCCGTACGGCGCAATGCGGCTG